ATTCCTGCCTACAGAGAAACTCCTGGGCTACACAGTGGAGTCTATGGGGGTCAGTGTAGAGTACTTGCCAAGCATATGTGAGGCTCTGGTTTTGGACCCCAGTATTGAGAACAAGAGTGGGTGGGGGCAAAGATGGGACACAGTAAAGGAGAACAGAAAACTGAAATTTTCTCATTTCTTACAAGGTGCCTTTAAATCTGTGACAGGGCACTGACATCACAGCAGGAGCTCAAATGAACTGTTTTCAATCCTCATGACTTTCATCCTTTCCTTCCACAAAGTTCAGAACACTTCTGTATTCCCAACTTGATTTCAGCAAGAATCCAGTGAATTTAGGTATCCTTGTTATCAGGGACAGGTACATCCTTATCTCCTAGGAGTGCCATTTCATTTTGTCAATAATTGCAAGTCCAGAGCATTGCAAATCTGTTTCTAGAGCTGCAGAGAAACTCACTGCTGAAGAATGATGGAATGGTAAGTAAAAACTGAGATGTTTGGCAAAGCACTAGGCTAGCAAATGTAGAATGTCTCACTAGTTCTGTTCTACACATGAGAAAAAGAGTTTGAGAAAGAAGGTAAGTAACCTATCAGAAGAGACAGATAATAATAACTGTCAACAAAGATATAGAGAAACAATGATGTGGGGGGTGGGGTTGTGAAATGGCCAAGGCAGTTTAAAAATAAGGAATTTCCTCAAAATGTTAAACATTTGATTAACACAGGATCTAGTACTCAATTTCACTCCTAGGTATTCCTTTCCAAATGTATAATTTACAAATGTTTTCTCCGACCTCCCATTTCACACACATTGAGAATGCAGCAGAAGATTGTTTTCAGCTGTTATCCTCTTTGGGGATTGCCTCATTGTTAGGTTTCCCCTTCTAGGGAAAAGAGTAGCACCCAGTGATTGATGGGTGTCAGTAAAAGGATCATCTCTCTAACCACAAGAGTCCATGACCTCCCTACAATGCTGGCAGCTGCCTCCACTGAGACATCACAGTGCCTTGATTTCTTCCTCCACCCAATAAAGTCAGTGCATAAAAATCTCCAATACAGTGCCTTCTCTAAGAAAACTTCATCTGTATCATATATGCATCATTCTCTTCAAATGTCTGTGCTATTGAAGTCTGAAGACTGAAAGGGGAAGGAGGAAGTCATTAGCTCACTTATGTCTTTGCTAGTCTTTGATGATTGAAATGAGTTCATGGTGAACACTATTGGGGAAATTATAAAAGCCACTCCATGTAGTTAAAAGGAAGATTTATTTAGTGGGTGACTTACAAATGAAGGAATAGATAGGTTG